CCAGTTCACAACAGGGTTCATGTTCCTATGAGAATCTAATGCCACTGCTGATCTGACACAAGGTTAACTCAGGCGGTAATGCTCGCTCGCCCACAGCTCACCTCCTCCTGTGCAGCCCAGTTCCTACTAGGCCATGCACTGCTGCAGGTGCGCAGCCCGAGGGTTGGAGACCCTTGCTTTATAGCATCAGGTGGAGTCCCCACAGCTCCCACAGAGCCCTTGGACAGGACCAGCAAACATCTCAAGGGAGGAAATAAAGCCTTAGGTGTACTTAAAGCAGAACAGGAAAAATGTCCAGACAGAGGTTTGTGAGCTTGTATTAATTTGTCTTTAATTTGGAAAAAGACATAGAAATTGGCACGGTCATGTCCTTTCTATGCATAATCGATTATCATCCAGATGATTACACAGTTAGGAAACACCTGAAAGAAATAAAAAAAGAAGAAGAAGGGCCGGGCACGGTGGCTCAAGCCTGTAATCCCAGCACTTTGGGAGGCCGAGACGGGCGGATCACGAGGTCAGGAGATCGAGACCATCCTGGCTAACACGGTGAAACCCCGTCTCTACTAGAAATACAAAAAACTAGCCGGGCGAGGCGGCGGGCGCCTGTAGTCCCAGCTACTCGGGAGGCTGACGCAGGAGAATGGCGTAAACCCGGGGGGCGGAGCTTGCAGTGAGCTGAGATCCGGCCACTGCACTCCAGCCCGGGCAACAGAGCCAGACTCTGTCTCAAAAAAAAAAAGAAAGAAATACAAAAAACTAGCCGGGCGAGGCGGCGGGCGCCTGTAGTCCCAGCTACTCGGGAGGCTGAGGCCAGAGAATGGCGTGAACCTGGGAGGTGGAGCTTGCAGTGAGCTGAGATCCGGCCACTGCACTCCAGCCCGGGCAACAGAGCCAGACTCTGTCTCAAAAAAAAAAAAGAAAAAAAAAAAAGAAGAAGAAGAAGGAGGAGGAGGAGGAGAAGGAGGATGAAAACAAAATTGCCTCAAAATTCTAAAGTAAAATCTGAAAATGTCATAACTTTCTATCATTGTGCAAGAAGTCATTATTTCATAAACAACTGCTATGGTGTCCTGAAATTCCAAGGCTAAATAACATCTAAATACTCATTTAGAATTCGTGGGAACCTGACAGTAGAACATTCCTCTAAGACAGTGGTTTTCAACTGGGGGCAATTTTGACCCCCGGGGGACATTAGGCTGTGTCTAAAGACATCTGTGGTTGTCACAAACTGGGAAGGGGAGTGCTACTAGCGGGTAGAGGCCAAGGACGCCGCTGAAAATCCTGCAATGCGCAGGACAGGTCCCCACAGCAAAAAAATTATCCAGTCCAAAATGCCAATAGTTCTGAGGACAAAAAACCTTGCTCTAAGATACAGTAAAGCTTCTAAAAAGAAGATTAAATCTTGCCAGCAGCAGAAATGCAAGGAACAAGTAGAAATGACATGCTGTAAAAGTGTGGGTGGTGTCCTGAATTCTACTGAGAACTGCAAACACAGGAGGGGAAAAATGGATAGCACAGGGGTAAACAAGGCAAGCAACGTTCGGGAAGCAGGAGCCGGCCTGAAGCAGAGAATCTGCCAAGCTGAGCCTGAACCCACCGTTAAGCCTTCACATCAGTATTACTCAGCCACTGACTTGTTTGCGTAGCCATGGCAGCTGGCAGGGACATGCAGCCTCCTCAACAAACAGCTTCATCAATTCGTAAAGCTCCCATTCTTTAGAAACATTTCTAAGACAATATATGAAATCCATTTTCTCCTGATTTTACTTGAAGATGAGTCACACAAGACACCAGCTATATGCTTGATTTCAGGCTTTTAAATAGGGAGAGCAGCTATTGAAAAAAATTACAGGGTAGGAATGGCAGACAAAGGCACTAAAAAGACTCTGAATCATTCTAATTTTTATGGGGAGTGGGAGAAAGCACACCCAGCTTAACCAATTTACATCATTTGGCTTTAGAAAATAAACATATACATCATGCTGATAATTGTGTGCCTTGTTTCACATGCAGGGATTAAAGCAGTTTTAGGAAAATACTTGGAAATATAGAAGTGGAAAGCAATAAAATGAAATGGCAAAAAAAAAAAAAATTAGCTATTGAAGTACAGATGCTCCTCGACTAATGGTGAGGTTGTGTCCCGATAAAGACGTCGTAAGTTGAAAGTTTCTTTAGTCGGAAATGCATTTAATACACCTAACCTACCGAACATCACAGCTTCACCTTCCCCACGTTAAAAGTGCTCAGAACACTTACATTAGCCTGTATTTGGGCAAAATCATCTAACAGAAAGCCTATTCTATAACGAAGTATTGAAAGTCTCACGTAATCTGTTGAACACTGGAAGTGAAAAACAGGATGGCTGCATGCACACTCAAAGTATGGTCTCCACTGAGTGTGTATCACTGTCACACCATTGTCAAGCTGAAAATCTTTTTAATTGCATATTCATGAGCTGGAAATCGTCTGTATATCTATTACCATTTAAGAGAAATGACTTAATGAAGCTTATTTCCAAACCTATAAATCATTTTCTTTCCCAATCAAGTATCTCCATGTAAACTGAGTCACAAGAAAAACTAAGTTACTCGCGGAGACCTCTACACATTAGCGTGGAGGACAGCCAAGGAGCACTCGACATTTTATCTCCACAAAGAGATAGAAAATGCACTTGGCAGCCGGGCACAGTGGCTCACACCTGTAATCCCAGGACTTTGGGAGGCCGAGGCAGGTGGACCACAAGGTCAAGAGATCGAGACCATCCTGGCCAACATGGTAAAATGCCATCTCTACTAAAAATACAAAAATTAGCTGGGTGTGTTGGCACATGCCTGTAGTCCCAGCTACTCAGGAGGCTGAGGCAGGAGAATCACTTGAACCTGGGAGGCGGAGGTTGCAGTGAATTGAGTTTGCACCACTGCACTCTGGACTGGGTGACAGAGTGAAACTCCATCTCAAAAAAAAAAAAAAAAGAAAAGAAAAGAAAATGCGCTTGGCTAAAGGGTCCACTAAGGTTGCTCCTAGAGTATGCGCGAATTTCTGAGAATATATATATTTTTTTTTTTGAGATGGAGTCTCACTCTGTCGCCCAGGCTGGAGTGCAGTGGCATGATCTTGGCTCACTGCAAGCTTGAATTTCGGGGAATTTTTAAAGGGAATTTACTATCACTAAAGGAAATTGACAAATGCAACTCTGAACTTTGAGTTAGTGATTCTTCTGAGTTTTTTAGTAACATTAAAAGATGGAAAAATGCATTTTCTCCTTTCAAGCAAGCACAACAGCAATAGAAGAAATAGTTCATAATGGAATTATACAAGGACTTCGGAGATCATTGACTTTAAAGCCTCATTAACTAGGACTTCTATAATTTGGGTTTGATGATAATTTAACCAAAGCCTGGGCTGAAGTGGACTCTGCTAGGTAAAGCGTTATAGAAAAAGAGAATCCCAGTAGAAACAAGATGACAGAGTTAAACAAGCCTCAATCATATATGTGAATTAAATCATTTTTCTCCATGGGTTAGATAGGGCTCCTAAAAAACTGTTCTAGGCACCAACACATTATGAAAAAGAGGAGAGAAGGAGGAAGGAGAGGCAACAGCAGCAACAGTTAATATTTATTGTTGTGACTTGCCAGGCAATGAGTTAAGATCTTTATAACAATTTTTTTCATTCAATACATACATGAAACAATAACCTGATCAGCCAGATACTGTTACAGGTCTGGGAACCTTTATCTGTAATTCCAAGATCCAGGTTTTTTCATAAGTCATTTACTGACAAAGCTTGGCCTGACCTGACCCAGCTGGGCAGCAAATCCTGACCCAAAAAGACAAGAGGCTATTTATGGTCTTCATTTATCCCACTTAGTGTTGCTGGCGGGCTTTGCTGCAGACCTGTGAATGTGACTGACGGTAGGGAACTGTCCCAGACACCACAGTGGAGGGCCGTGCAAGCCTGCCCTCTGCATTACCTTTCTAAGTTCTGAAAAATTCTGAGCTCAAAAACACACTGGGCCCAAAGAATTTCAGATGAGAGGTCATGGAACCTGTGCTAACCCCTTTCTGCAGATAAGGAAACAAAATCTCCGAGGCCGTATCTCAGAGAACCTGCCCAAGCTCACATGGCCAGTGAGTGAATATACAGCAGAGACGGGATTCAGCACCAGGCAGGTCCAGCTCCAGAACCTGCATCATAGTTAGATGTGGCTTGTGGGACTCCCATGCCTTTCTATTGAAATGGAAAGTAATACAACCACATTTAAATGATACTTTTTTTTTAGAGACAAGATTTGCTTTGTAGCCCAGGCTGGAGTGCAGACACACAATCATAGCTCACTGCAGCTTCAAACTCGTGGGTTCAAGAAATTCTCCCACTTCAGCCTCCCAAGTAGCTGGGACTTAATTTTTATTTTTAGTAAAGAGAGGGGTCTCACTATGTTGCTCAGGCTGGTCTCGAACTCCTGGCCTCAAGTGACTACGTTGACCTCCAAATGAACTGGGGTTACAGGCCTAGGCCACCATGCCTGGCCTTAAGTGATGCTTTTAGCTAATTGAGATAAGTCACTGATAAGGTTTGGCTGTGTCCCCACTCAAATCTCATCTTGAATTGTAGCTCCCATAATCCCCACATGTCGTGGGAGGGACCTGGTGGGAGGTAATTGAATTATGGGGGTGGGTTTTTCCCATGCTGTTCTTGTAATAGAGAATAACTCTCAGGAGATCTGATAGTTTTATAAAGGGCAGTTCCCCTGCACACTCTCTCGCCTGCCACCATGTAAGATGTGCCTTTGCTCCTCCTTTGCCTTCTGCCACGATTGTGAGGCCTCCCCAGCCATGCGGAACTGTGAATCCATTAAACCTCTTTTTCTTTATAAGTTACCCAGTCTCAGGTATTTCTTATAGCAGTGTGAGAATAGACTAATACAGTCACTGAGCATGCTAAATGAATGAGCTCACTGTTCTTAAGATGTCTGTAAATAGCCATGACCCACTCACCTGGTCCCTGCTTTCTTCCTGGCTGCCCATTTCTCGAATCTTCTCCAAAATGGTGTCCTCAGTGGACCCAGTCGTGCCCAATCTGCCCCTAAGGAGGGCTGCAATTTTCTCCCTAAATGAGGAGTACTGACTTTGTGAGGCTGTGACTGCATCCCGACTTGCCTTCAGACTCTTCTCCAACTCAGAAGAGCTTTTCTTCAGGAGGCTCAGCTCCTGCTTTGAGGCATCCCAGACCTGCTGGCCAGCAAGCAGCCTTTCTTGGAAGATCTTAACTTCCCTTTCAAGAGCTTTTTTTGCTTCTACAGCACTGAGCAGGTCCTAAAATGATTACAGAAAGTGAAGACAATAACATTAGTAGTCAACAGGGTACACCTGCATTTGCTATAGCAAATTCATTGACTTTGCCTGCTAATGACTACAAGGGGTTGGGTTAATTACTTCTTCCATTTTTAACTCCAAATTCCCTATAGTCTCCTCATAAAGTTATTAAATCCCAATGGTATGTCAGGAAAATTTAGGTGTCTTAAAAACAGAAAAGGGGGCCCAGCGCGGTGGCTCACACCTGCAATCCCAGCATTTTGGAGGCCGAGGTGGGTGGATCGCTGAGGTCAGGAGTTCGAGACCAGCCTGGCCAACATGGTGAAATCCCACCTCTAGTAAACAAAAATACAAAAATTAGCCAGGCGTGGTGGCACACACCTGTAATCCCAGCTACTTGGGAGCCTGAGGCAGAAGAATCGCTTGAACCCAGGAGGTGGAGGTTGCAGTGAACTGAGATCACTCCACTGTACTCCAGCCTGGGCAACAGAGCAAGACTCCATCAAAAAAAAAAGAAAGAAAGAAAGAAAAACAGAGAAGGGATATAAAATACAAAATCTGGGTTAGAAAAAAGAAGGAAACTTTGACACATAAGCCTTTTCTGTGTGGAACACTGGAAAGAGTTAATAAAAACAAATCATTGGATAACATATTAGTAGATTCAGTCCATATATAGAATATGTTTATAGAACCATCTTTCTCAAGTTTGGTGTATATGGAAATTGATTTTTAATAAACAGTAAGCTCTCAGAGTCCTAGCTAGGCACTAACAATTATTTGAATAAAGATGCCCCCTTAATACTATTTTAAATAATAGAGGAATATTCTCATAAAAACATCATTGCATAAAAATATTCATTGACTTCCAATATCCAATATTCATTGCATATCCCCTTGTCTCATAAAGACAAAATTAATGCAGAAAGAACCTGAAGAAAGGAAACAGAAACAACTAGCCATTTGGTAGATGGGAGGATTGAAAGTAGAGGGAAAGTATCATACTTAGAAGAATAATCTTAAAGAATATAATATGGGCTGGGCACAGTGGCTCACACCTGTAATCCCAGCTCTTTGGGAGGTCAAGACAAAAGATCACTTGAGCCCAGGAGTTGGAGACCAGCCTGGGCAACTTGGTAAACCCCCATCTTACATAAAATAAAATAATTAGCCATGCATGGTAGCATGTGTCTATAGTCCCAGCTCCTTGGGAGGCTGAGATAGGAGGATTGCTTGAGCCTGGGAATTCGAGGCTACAATGAGCAGTAATTGCATCAGTGCACTCCAGCCTTGGTGACACAGCATGACCTTGTCTCAAAATAACAACAACAAAAGAACATAACGTGTGAAATTAGTTTCAGAAAAGTAATGAAGGACATAAAGAAGGTTACCTGTGCACTTAATTCTATTTACCACAATCTAGAATGGCCCACAGAGGCACCAAAGGAGCATCTTTTTTTTTTTTTCCAAGATGGAGTTTCACTCTTGTTGCCCAGTCTGGAGTACAATGGCGTGATCTCGGCTCACCACAACCTCCGCTTACTGGGTTCAAGCAATTTTCCTGCCTCAGCCTCCCAAGTAGCTGGGATTACAGGCATGTGCCACCATGCCCAGCTAATTTTGTATTTTTAGTAGAGACGGGGTTTCTCCATGTTGGTCAGGCTGGTCTTGAACTCCCAACCTCAGGTGATCTGCTCGCCTCGGCCTCCCAGAGTGCTGGGATTATAGGCGTGAGCATCTTTTAAATTGATTTCTTAAAATTATATTTGTTAACATCAAGTTCCAAAATACATGAATTCACATTAAGAAATATTAAGCAGCGTGTTAACTAGCATTGCTATAGTATCGCTGCCTAGTTAACTGGTTTAAAAAAATTATTAAAAATCGTATGTTAGAGGTAAAAAGCACTAAAAAGAAACATAGTATCTTTGAATAACAGACTCTACATCTAAATGAGCTGATAACATTTCAGGCTGCCAGTTAAAATGCAATCATCTCTTTTGCATTAGAACTGGGCTTTAAAAGAAATTTCTCTCCATTAACAGCTTGGAAACAGGAAAAAGGATAGCTTGAAACACTAGTTTCTATTTTTTATAGGAAACATAACATCTTATTTTTTTTCATTATGGTGACTTTTTTAAAATCAAGGGAGCCTCAGGCATCAATTTGAAAGAAAAGTCACAGAGTAGATATGTAGTTAGAGAAGCCTGCCCTTTTCAGAGATGTAATAATTCAACTAATTATGGAATCTATTTTGTAAAATGCCTTTTGCTTTTCAAGGTCTTGGTTTCCCCTTTCCTTTGCTAAACTAGTTATCTCTATAGAGAAGCCTCACTGTTGCTGCTAATTAAATGACAGTACTTAAAGTAGAGTCAAGGACACTTTATCACAAATTCAGTATTTTAACAGTTTACAGATTTCTCTTCAGATCATAATACAATAGCTTCTCACTTGCTCAATTAGAGTAACTAGTATCAGTAATGGTGATAATAAATTGGGTGCATATTTTACTTGGAAACTACGGTCGATCCTTGGTATCCTTGGGGAATTGGTTCTAGGACCCCGGAAGATATCTGAAAGAAAACTGAGGATGCTCAAGTCTCCCATATAAAATGGAATAATATTCTCATATAAGCTACTCACATTCTTCTGTATACTTTAAATCATCTCTAGATTACTTGTAATACCAAATACACTGTAAATGCTAGGTAAATAACTGTTATGTGTTATTTTTATTTGTATTATTTTTATTATTGTTTTCTTATTTGTATTGTTTTATTTTCCAAATATTTTTTTATCCACAGTTGGTTGAATCCACAGATGTGGAACTTGTGGATGCAGAGGGTCGACTGCATAGTCTGCTGTGTGGTTAGAAAACTGAGGTCCTAAATTCAATGATGCCGGGATGGAAATTAATCCTAATTGCTTTAGAATTCCAAAACCATATGGAATATTATATATTCACTAAAGACCCTCAAAATACACAAAAAATATCTCAGATGCTTGTGACCTTTGGAGTTACTGTCAATTTGGAGTAGACGACTCAACTGGCAGCTAACACCACAAGACCAATAAACACAATTAAAACATTGCAACTATGAGGAATTTTTCTACCCCAATATCATTATTGTTCCACCGACTTCGAGAAAAGGGCCAAAACAATCTTCTCTTAACAAATCCAAAGAACGTTTTCTTTTTAAACCTAGGCATCAACATTTATGTCTAGTGAAAATCCCAAAATTAGTTTGTGCTCACAGAATACAGTGCTGCCTGTAAGCAGGTTGGGTTTCTGTTTTCCAGGCACATTCAGCTCAGTGAACACTGAGCTGTTTCTTGTATCAAATGCAGGACTCGAGAGCCGGAGTGACAAGGCCTTGGGGATGGCCGCTCCTTTAGTGCTCTGATTAAGTGCTGCAGGATTCAGGGGCACAGGGCTGATCTTCTGGAAATAAATGTCCTCAGACTGCAAATGCAATTACCTGTGCAGCTATCAGGAGAACGCCACCAGAGTGGAGTCTGGTTCCATGGCTACCTCAAGGATACGCCGAAGCAAGCGGCATGAAATCATGTGACATCAGTACCACTGGCCAGGACCTGGGGATTGCTGTCAGACCACACTGACATACAGGACAAGAAACAAGTGGCTTCCTGTGAGCAAAAGCAAGACTGACCTCCACAGTCTTGTGGGGTCACAAGAGAGCAGGCCCTATAGACTGTGATGGGGATCACTTAAAAACTTTTTATAATTAAATCTTTAGGTTCAGTCTGACTCGTGCAACAAACGTAAAATGATCCTTTCAAAATTACTTTTAACAAAAACTTTTATAAATACTATGATCATGGCACTCAATTTACCTTCCCATTTAAATATGTGAGTCTGCATCACGTAATGAAACCATTCAAAGGTTTGTGTTTTTTAAAAAACAATTGATTCCTGTTCTGTTGCTATTTTATGGATTTAGACACACATGAGATCAAATTGCCACTCAAAAATACAATGATTATCATCAGGACGGAGAACCTCTGGCTTGAGCTTAATTCCTTCAATCCTAGATCAATTTTATAAAATAAAAAAATCAGTTGGTTAATTCTACCTACTGCAGTTATGATTAACAAAAAAACTCAGAAATTCCCCCAAACAGGCAGTCTTATACATTGCTGGTGGAAATGTGAACAGGTATAATTTTGGTATAAATTGTTGGCATAAATGCATAACAAAATTTAATATGCACGTATCTTTCGGCCCTGCAATTCCAGTCCTGAGAATGTATCTGTAAGAAAGGTCACTAAATATAGAAAATGAGGAATATGCAGTTATCCAATTATAATATAGCAAAAGACAAGCTACTACATGAATATTCGTTGATATGTAACTTCTTAAATATGAGACATCCATACTATAGAAAATGATGTAGTCTTGAAAATAATTGGGGCAGTTTTTTATATACCAATATGAACGACTCTCCAAGATACAGTTAGTGAAGAAAGTAAGGTGTCTAATAGTGCATCTATACAAATAACAATGGTACATAGTACAGTACCATTTGTACCTTTATGAAAAGAATATCTCTAGAAACATGCACAAGCAACCACCAATTCTCATCACCTCTAGAGAAGGGAACTGTAGCCAGGGGTCAGAAATGAAAGGAAGATGTGATAGAATACTGGCAACTATGAAAACACCAGGGAATTTTAGTCCATTTTAAGTGTTGAGTCAACAGTGATATGAGCACAAATATATACACGCACATGCACACACACATTCCCCCCTCCCAAACTTGGGCTGCATTCACAAAAGTAAAGTATTCAGAATCAGAGAGGTGATATCCTGCTCTATTTCCTTTGAATTACACCAAGCCTGAAGTCTGGCCTTCAGTTCTGGGATTCAAACTTTAATACAGATAAAACCCTCCTTGGACAGCACTATTCAAATTTACAATCTGGTACCACTCCTGCACCTGCTGTTCCCAGTCCCAACAAGATCATTTCAGAAATTGAGGGTA